ATGATCCAGGTATCAAAATGTAGCTTTTAAAGACAAGAATCTGAAAATGTAATTAGGTCATTTTGACCTAATTTGACTTAATCCTCATTTTGATATGAAGGGTCACAAATAAACTTGGTTTGAGTGAACTGAAAATACAAATGCAGAAAAAARATAAATTTTTTAAAACTACCTGATTTTGTGTGGATGATGTCCTAAACTGCTAAAAAAATTACTTTTTTTCAAAATCTAACCAACAGCAGAGCTACCAACAGCTAAAACAAAGTATCTATCACATTTTCATGTCTTAGTGCGTCCTGTTTGTACTCAGGAGTTGAAGTTTTTGAACTCCAGATCAGATGAATAAACTGGAATGTCAACAATGAAAGTCAGATATTTTGACCAGCCTTAAACGTCTGGCTTGCACATAAAAASCTGTGATAGCTGTCGTTTAATAATGTTTCTAGCTCAGAAAATCTGTCACACATAAAGTACCATCCAGTTACTGTTAGTGAACACGTTATAACGTAGTTTAAATGCTGAAAAATACTTCATCAACTTGTGTTGCTAATGCTAGCTAGCCTAGTCACTGAGCACATGAATAAGTTGTGGTTTGATTCTCTTGTCTGCTGAAGTGACTGGATCACTACTGTAGTAACAACACAGAAGTGAGGCAGTGCCTTTATTTTTGTCTTTGTTGCACTCTGCAGGTGCCTTATCTCAGTACAACCAATCAATGATGAGGAGGGAGGTTTTCCACATGCCAACAGAAGTCACCACACGAACCAATGTGTCCCACACCATGCTCAATGACCCCTACTTCTCAGGTACTAAACGTTTTTATTTTCARCCCAGTCCACCTTAAACAATCATCTAGTTTTAATTGTTTTCAGTAGTTTGTCCTTGTCAGRGGTGACATCAGTCACTGCTCAGGGAGTGTAACGTAAAGGGCCAGATGTATCCTCCAGGCCAGGCTGAAGGCCACCTAGCCTTTTTCAGAGCTTCTTATTTGACAGAACATGTCTTAAAAATGTCTCCAACAGATGGCATGATGATGACCACGCAGCACACAGAGAGCAGTGGCATGGTCAGCCGTCAGATCACCAGAGAGGTGGTCCAGAGGAGCGTCATGGGAGGAGGAGGAGCTACTGTCACAAAGAAAATGTTTTATGAGTCCTAAGAACTTTTTTTTAAATTACGCCCACATTACCATTCAGACATCAGCACTCAAAACATCTGATGGYAGAAATAACCAGTGTGTATGAAATGAAAAAACATCTGCAACCAGACTGAAACAAACCAAACGACACTTCTTTATGTCTGTTACAAACTTTGTGTGGCTTTTGTTTATAAAGTGTGTTATACTGAAGCATGATGATGGTTTATTTTCATTGGTTTTTAGATTTTTACATTTGAAACTGGAGGTGAAAATCAGCACAAAATCATGAACAGTATTCATTCATTCATATTACCTGCTGACATTTAAGAGYTGAAAGTTTATAACTCAAATGATCAAAACTATTTTAGATAAAACATGCTTGTGGATTGCAGATGTCGTTTAGTTGATATTTTTCTTTTCGCTCTCCTGCTAATCTGTTCAGTATTTTTGTATTAAGAGACAAAAAGTGTTTATCAAAGAAATGTGTGAAGACTGGAAGATTGTACTTTGCTTTTGCTGCAGGTTTTCCTTTACTTTGGCTTCATTTGTTGAACAGCTTTTATAAAACACAGTTTCACAGAATTTTATTAAATAAGYAAACAGTAAAAGGATCTGTTGTTAAACGTTTTATTAAAAAGATCTGTAAAAATGATCACACTCTTCCATCAGTATGTTATTGTTTACTTGTAAGCACTTTTCCCCATGTTTTCTGTTTTGCTGACGTTATATTGCACCTAATAAAGAATTATAAAAAAAGAAGACCGACCAATGACTGATGATATTCTGGAGTCCACCCCAAGAATGAAAACAACTTTAAAAGCTCTCAGCAGCAGAGCTGGGCACTAACAAAACTTAAGTACAGTTTTTGAAAAGTTGTACTTTACTTGAGTCGTTACTAGTTCCTTTATTWATATTTATTTTTTATTTTGGGCTGGGGTGGGCTTAGGGCATGTTTGRGTAGTTTGCATCTATTAAAACTGACACTCAGGGGTATTTTACCATACTTTTTCCTWAATATTATGAAGTATCACTACTTGTATATTCAAGTAAAATTTTGAATACTCTACCCACCACAAGAAACTTCACCAAATGAAGAACTYACAGAGGTGCTCCAAGTTTCAGTGGTGCCGCCTTGGAGGGGTCCCTCCTGCACCCCCATTACATTTATCAGTGTTGAGGAAGCTGTTGGTCCAAACTAAAATAATCATTACTCCACAGTTGTTTCTCATGATTTGGTTGGTTACAAACAGCACAGATGTTATGTACGGAAGCAGAGAGCGGACGTTTTCTGCTGACCAGATAATGTATTAGCCTACGTTTCTATCACAAAATAAAGACTAGCATTTTTCACTTTATTTTCAGCTCTGCTGTGCTTTATTAATTAGTTTTAAAGATATGGTGTGAATTAGATGGTACACTGTGGTCATAAAGGGATGAACATTGTCTGAAGATGGTACACTGTGGTCATAAAGGGATGAACAT